CAAAGTTTGTTGATTACAAAGTCTTCAAATGTGGCATGAGCAGAATTTCCACGGATGGAGTTTGCTACACTTACTGGCCTCTAGCTCTATTGGAATTCCTTCCCCCATTTATGAGAAATTTCACGCGAGGTGTACTTTGGCTAAAGTTCGTTTAGTCCTTCAATTTTTACCATTTGATTTTACTATGTTTAGATATCGATTAATGTAACGATGGTAGCCATGACTGTCGTGATGCGACCAACTGTAAAAACACCACTGGATCGTTCGACTGCAGCTGTCAGTCTGGACGCCTTAAAGATGGACGATACTTTTGCCTAGGTGTATCTTGATTTCTTACTGAACACGAAATCTTATTTAGATAACCTACGCTACACTTTTTCCACCTCTTTACACCATATCAACAGAAGAAAGCTGAAAGATTTGATTTATCAATCACCAAAGTGTTGTTAACTATTTAAGTGTGGCTTGCAATTGTGCAATGCAGACTAACGCTCATATCTGTTACAGATATTCAATGAGGCGTCCTTCTGGTCAAGAAAATTGTAATTTCGACACCATTTACGCGCGGCGATACTTATCAAAATACTAATCTGACTAATCTTGTCTGGACAATTGCAACTGTCAATTTCTAACTTCTATCGACAAGCTCTTTATTTCGATCAAACTCTTCCATGACTTGACTTGCTAATATCATTTTTAAAACCTACTAATGTTCTTAACAGATAACTGGAAAAAGATCAACACCGATCCTGTCTGCTTCGGGACAAAAAATGACGACTTCGGATCCTTTGAAATCCAAGAGGCCGGTAAAGTCTACACATTCAAACTTGTCCATACAAATGGCACCGTAACATGTAATACTGACTTCGAATCAACAAAGTGGGGATGTTCACACCCAGATTTGGGACGTCGTATACTACTGACGGTGATAACTTACCCCAACAAGACTGTTCTTCCGCTTGCTGAGTTCGTGAAAGGCATTGATGACTATAGGTACCAACTTGACGGTGCTCATGTCAACTCCCCGACGC